GGAACAGATCTGTCAGGAAACTCCCTGAGCCACTAGAGGTTGCTGTTAGATGACTTAAGTCAAAAGAGCTAGCTGGCCAAAAGCTCCGGCTGTCCTTCTTGATGGAAATACACAATATGGGCAATGGTGTAATACAGGACAGGTCATCATAGTCTTGCTGGGCTTAGTTTTGTTGTCGCAAGTTTATTTCTAATTCAGTGAGGATGTGATTTCAACTTCTGTGTCTGTAACATGTCTCACAAGTGCTTTTACAACTGTCTGTCTGCTCCTCTGGACAAAAAGTTTGAAAAACTTCATGCACTTCCTTATGATAAACTGGTCTTAACTATGTTATCAGTTTCTTTGTCACAGTCAAACTGTGGATTTCCACACTCAAATCTCTTCTAAACAGAGGCTTACTTTTCTGTTTGTTTTCTAACGCTGTAGACTTTCCACAGTTATGGGCTGGACTTTTATTTGCACTGTAGCTGTAAAAGCTGATAAGCTTTGAGCTACAATAATCTCTCACAAGTGAAAAAACAACCTGTTCTTATTGGGATGCTGGAAAAAGTTTATCTAAAATGAGCCCTCTTCAAGAAATTGTGTTTTAATTAAGAGCTCGCCACATAATTTCACTAGTAAAGTTAATGCTCTTTAAAAGCATGGATAAAGTCTTAAAGATAAGAAATGGGCTCTGCGCCTTTTCATTGAGCTACTGATAACTTAATGCTTGCTATGGTAACTGTTGTCTTAAAAACAACTATCTTGGTTCTACCTACACAGTGCTGTTCGTGCTAGTGTTTTGTAGCACTTATACACCAGGAAGGGGAAATAACATAGGCTGGGATTATTTTGTGTAGGTTTTTTTTTTAAACTGCAGCATGGGGGTTGGGTTTTTTTGGAGTGGGGTATTGCTTTAAGTTACTGTGGTTTGTGTGGACTCTCTTCTAATTACCTGGTGTTTCCCACTATATCCTGACACAGGGGACTGGCTCTCTGCTTTTAGATACTAGCTGAACATATAATTCCTATTTAACCGTTGATTCTAGCTCCAGTCTTGAGGTTGGTGTGAGGAAGCCTACTAGCCTGTTGCTCTTGAGAATGTGTATCAATATTTGCTCCTTTCTTTATACAAATTGTTCTTGGTATTATTGTAAATATAACCCCAAGGGACTGACTTTGGGAGTGCATGTAGTCCATGGGGCTGTGTTATGGTGCAGATGGTCCCCTTGGGACCCCAGTGAATTTAACTGCAGCTGGAGCCCCACCACTGCCCTGCTGCTGGTCAGGGTGTCCCACCCTGGGAAGTCAAATGATGCTTCTCCTGGGTTAGAGGGACACTCAGCACAAGAAGGATGTGGACCCATTGGAGTGGGTCCAGAGGAGGCCATGAGGATGATCTGAGGGCTGGAGCCCCTCTGCTGTGAGGAGAGGCTGAGAGAGTTGGGGTGGTTCAGCCTGGAGAAGAGAAGGCTCCAGGGAGACCTTATAGCCCCTTCCAGTGCCTAAATGGGCTCCAAGAAAGATGGGAGGGACTTTTTACAAGGGCATATCGCCATAGGGTGAAGGGTAATGGCTTTAAACTGGAAGAGGGTAGAAATTCTTCCCTGTGAGGGTGGTGAGGCACTGGCGCAGGTTGCCCAGAGAAGCTGTGGCTGCCCCATCCCTGGAGGTGTTCAAGGCCAGGTTGGACGGGGCTTGGAGCAACCTGGGCTGGTGGGAGGTGTCCCTGCCCATGGCAGGGGGTTGGAACTGGAGGACTGCTAAGGTCTCTTCCAAACCACTCCACGATTACAGAGGGTGCGGTGCCTGCAGGAGGTCCCTGTGAACACCCGGCACCCCTGGCAGCAGAATACTGAAGCCTGCAGTGTGGCTGTATGATGGCAGAGCTGCCGTGGATGCTGCCTGTGCGGTTTTTTCACTTCAGCTTTTCTGCAGACAAGAAAATTGCACTCCCCCCTTACCAAGGGCTTGTGTGTCCCCCACCCCTCCTCCTCAGGGCTGGGCGGGGAGGCCGCTCCCCCC